AGCTTTCTTCTAATGTAATATGATTTATTTCCTTTAGCTTCCCAGCAATGCTCATACATCTTGACTTTGGGAACAGTCTCGTTGCATACCTCTGCACTTTCTCTAATTTCTTAATATTCTTTATCAGGGATGGGTTCGATGTTACTTCTGTATCCATGATGATCCTGACACATGTAGCACACAGGATCTTGAGTAAGTGTCGAAATTCCAGTGGGTGCAAGAGTTACTCGGATGATGTAATACGATTGGCACTGTGTGTGTGTGTGTGTGTGTGTGTGTGTTTGTACTCACCTATTTGTACTCATTTATTTCTAGTTGCAGGGGTCGAGACTCACCTCCTGGTCCCGCCTCTTTACTGATCGTTACAGGTGTGATCACCTAATTGTACTCACCTAATTGTGGTTGCAGGGGTCGAGATTCAGCTCCCGGCCATGCCTCTTCACTGAGTGCTACTAAGTCCTCTCTCCCCCTGCTCCATGAGCTTTATCATACCTCATCTTAAAGCTGTGTATGGTTCCTGCCTCCACTACTTCACTTGCTAGGCTATTCCACTTCCTGACTACTCTATGACTGAAGAAATACTTCCTAACATCCCTTTGACTCATCTGGGTCTTCAGCTTCCAGTTGTGGCCCTTTGTTTCTGGGCCCCTTCTCTGGAACATCCTGTCTCTGTCCACCTTGTCTATTCCACGCAGTATTCTGTATGTTGTTATCATGTCTCCCCTAACCCTCCTGTCCTCCAGTGTCGTCAGGCCGATTTCCCTCAACCTTTCTTCGTAGGACATTCCCCTTAGCTCGGTGTGTGTGTGTGTGTGTTTGTGTGTGTTTGTGTGTGTGTGCGTGTGTGTGTGTGTGTGTGTGTGTGTGTGTGTGTGTGTGTGTGTGTGTGTGTGTGTGTGTGTGTGTCTGTGTGTGTGTGTACTATAATTGTGGTTGCTGGTGTTGATTCATACCTCTTGGCCCCGCTTTGTCACTGCTCGCTGCTTGGTCCACTCTCTTCCTGCCCCACGAGCTTTATCATTCCTCTTTTTAAAACCATGTATGGATCCTACATTCTCTACATCACTCTCCAGACTGTTCCACTTCCTGGCAGACCTATGACTGAAGAAGTACTTCCTAGCATCCACGTTATTCATCTTAGTTTTCAACTTCCAGATTTGGCCCCTTGTTTCTGTGTCACATCCGTGAATCAATCTTACCCTGTACACCTTGTCAATTCCTTTCAGTATTTTATATGCCGTTTTTATTGTGACCCCCCTCCCCATCCCCCCTGTCCTCCAGAGTTATCAGGGTGAGTTCCCTTAACCTCGCCTCGTACGACAAATTCCTCAGCTTCGGGACTAGTCTTGTTGCAAACTTTTCCACTTTCTCAAATTTCTTGACGTGTTTGACCATTGTGGGTTCCATACTGGTGCTGCATATTCCAATACTGGGCCTCAAGCATTGTTTCAAGCGATTTCAATTTCTTTCTAAATGTTCTGACGTGACAAGCGATTTTCATATCAATGCACCAAGCCGAAAAAATCGATCAGCAGGATTCGAAAATGAAATAACATGAAACCATGCTTAAGTCGCACTGATGTGCCTAGGCTGGGAAGAAACATGGCTGCCTGAGTGGGGAAGAGAATCACTTGGGAACCTTGCCAGTCTTCCTGTAGTGGGTCCGAATCCTGCAGATTGCGATCTTTCACATTTTCTGCGTGGTGCATATATATATGCATATATATATATATATATATATATATATATATATATATATATTATATATATATATATATATATATATATATATATATATATATTATATATATATATATATATATATATATATATAATATATATATATATATATATATATATATATATATATATATATATATATATATATATAATATATATAAATATATATATATATAATATTATATATATATATAATATATATATATATATATATATATAATATATATATATATCATATATATATATATATATATATATATATTATATATATAATATATTATATATATTTATTATATATATATATATATATAAATATATATATATGCTATATATGCAAAATAACAACTGTAGAAAAATAGTGAAATTCCAAGCTCTTTCGTGACTTCTCACATTATCAAGGAACTATAAAAACAATACATCAAGGGAAGGTATATCAAGGATCAAGACTACACCTCACCATCACATCCCACAACAAAGCAACACCTCACACACGCGTGACAACACCCGACTCTGTGAAACACACATAATACTCTACCCAAGAATTAAGGTTTATTACTTGTTTAATGTATCATTAAAGTCTTCCCAAATTTTATTAATTATAAATGACTCCAAAGGAAATATTCATATTATTTTCAAAACTGTTTTTAAGAAACATGATTCAATAATATTCCTGTCGACCATGGATTTGCTTGATACAACTTTCTCAGCCTTATGAAAATAAATTGGATGGTTAAAGTCTCTCACATGAATAAATAGAGCA